ACGATTGCGCCAGCTTTGTCTACCTGCAGTGCGTGTTCACGCACTGCTTGCTCAATGGCCTACGGACCGGCTATGCTTATATTTGCATGCTGGAAATAGAACAACTACTTAATTCACCGCTCGCAATTTTTTTGCTTCTATGGGATACAACAGGGACAGTTCATCTGGGGCGGAGGCCGTATTATGCATTTTGAGATAACATATTTCCCGGGAAACCTCCATTTCGGATGGAGGGCTGGTATCAACTGGGAGTCTTTTCTTAGTCGAGATAAGGGTGATAGCTCGGATGTCGACGAGGGTCAGTTGAAGTGTGCCCAGAGATTTTCAGCCCATTTATCAAGACGCCGTTGCTATTGACGAATCAGTATGCAATCGGATTCTTAATGACCTCAGTTACACCCGTCTTCCTAATTAGACGGAAACGAGTGCCACTATTCCCAATAGCCGCAGCTTTCCCCATCTCTCTACGCTTTCCTAGCTACCATTCCTCGCGGGAATTCCTCAGATTCTTGATCAGTTGACGTTAAAAGGATTTGCACGCTGTATCATATGCAGCATCCGGAGAATAGGTTCTGCAGGTTTCCAGCAGGGCAGCCGAGGTCGACGAGATCCATCGTTTGTGGTTTGAGCCTCCGTCAGAGTTCGGCGTTGTTTGAAAAAACCTAGTAACCCTCCCTAGAAGGATGAATGACACCCCTGATTGATTTTTCACCGTTTTAAATTCAACCGTTGTTATGTCTTGTGTCAAGACGATGTGATCGATAGGTACGCCTCTTTGTCTAGGCCCCAACAATTGGAGGAAAGAACACTGCTGAGAAACGACCCCGTTTGTTGCACTTCTGACAGATGTGCTTTTTGAAGGGACAAAAGCGTACAAAATGCCAATCGCCACACGACCAACATGCAGAGGGTGGTTTGCTGATAGCACTTTTCACGGGTTTGAAGTTTTTCATTGATGGCTGAGTCTTTGGGCAATGCATTGCATGAACGTCAGCTATGGTAGTCTTCTGTTCGACCAAAGCAGTGTCATGTTTCAAGGAGAGAAGACGTTTGTATTCGGCCATAAGAGACTTCAGGTCCATATCCGGGTCTTGATCAAGTCTGGATAATAAACGGGTACGAATGTCGGCATCTTCTGGATTCTGTAGTGCTCTGATGAAAATGAGGCATTTGAATTGATCATCGGTCAATGAACGAAGTTTAAAACGTTCACACTCATGATTGACTTTGTCAGCAAGCATGCCATAATCCTCTCCATCCCGTTTATTAATTTTCAGGCACTCGTATCGGATACTGAACAGTGAAGCTGACTCACCAAAGAGTTCTGATAATTGTGTCACCGCTTCGTCAAATTTCAAATCCCTTGGTTGTTTTGGAAGAATTTGGTCAACAAATCTGGAGTGTTCAGTAGTTCCAAGTTTTCAGACCAGTAGGCGCACTTTCCATGCATCGTCTTGACAACTGAAATCTGTTCGGAAGACATCTTCCCAGCGTTTGAACCACGCCTCGAAAGTGTGACCAGTTTCAGGATCATAACTGAATTCAGTGATAGAATTTGCAAGCATTTCGGTAGCGCTAGAGGGGATCTCACTTGAAACTGATTCTGTTGTTTGCAGGTTGAGCCGCTGCGTCAGTGATTCAATCAGTTTCAGTTGAGCCTCCATCTGTTTCTGTTGCTGCAATAACAGGAGTTGGAATTGATCTGCCGAAAAATTCATTGAAATTTCCGATTTTTCCGTCGCCATTTGTTATGTCTTGTGTCAAGACGATGTGCTCGATACGTACGCCTCTTTGGCTAGGCCCCAACAACTGGAGAAAAGAACACTGCTGAGAAACGACAGTCAGAGTGTATATGTGAGCATGACACAACAAGCAAGCATATGTGGTCAGTTGGGCGTACGCGAGCAGACGTGGTGACGCGCCAATCAGATCGTGACCTTGACACTCAGGTTGATCGACCGGACGACAGCTATTTGATTCGCCTTAGTCATCCAATCAGGAGTCGATTCGGCTTGGGCGTCACGAGCGCATTTGTGGTGTGACGCGCGTCGCTGCGTGGCAGGACGGATTTTGTGCGCTCCGTCCTAACAACCGTCTATCTCCAAAATTGTGTACCAGCCTCTTTTCTGGTTTATTCTATGGTACAACTATTTTCATTTCTAATTCATTAAAAACAACTTCAGGCAGCATCGAATTGGACTAAACAAAAGTGAATAACCCCCACACCAATCAATGCGGAATGGTCAATACTCACCTCTGATTCGCAGAGGCGGATCGACCTAGTAAGAGAGTAAGTCCGCATGAGCGTGGTGGCAGGCGACAGCGGTCAGTCATGTGATATGCGGCAAACATGTCGACCGATTGCAGGTCACAACAATATCGGAATAGCGGTGTTTATCTGTTTCTGTGCTATGCAATTACAGAGATAAGCAATCGGTTTGATCAAATGATCACAATCCTTTAACTCCACTTCTCCAAACCCAGTTTATTTTATGAATCACAACTCTTGTTGCCACGTTGTGATCGTATGTAAATGTGGAAGCTTGAGAATTAATAACCAAAAGGATCTTCGCTTCAACAGTCTTTTTAAAGAACAATAGGGATATTTCAACAATAACGAAATAAGTATCCTATATCTTCTATTTTACAATTAAATCGGCCTGATAACCCGTTTTCTGTTAAGCTTTGCTTGTTACCTTGTTATAGATATTTTTGTGACAATAACAGCTGAGCTTTTTCTGGATTCAATGGAATTTGAAGGTCGGCATCTGCCAGATCAATTGTGGGGGAAAACTGACAACCATGTTAGGATTTCATGAAATTCTCCGGCTCCATTGCCGTCGCTGCGCATTTTCACAATCGAGGATTGAGTGTCAATCGGTAATCACCGCATATCCCCGGAGTCCTGCCATCACTTTTCATCGCGATAGCAATCGGATTTGCCCAAGTTGATGATGTCATTCGGGAAATAACACCATTCTTCCGCATTCGTTTGATCGCTTTCAGCACATCACGTTGTCCATTTGGTAAGATACGCCTTTTCAGGAATACTGACTCTACGTTGACCTCCAACACTGCTTCAGGAACGCTCATTCCTCCCGTATTTTCAGTACACCGGATCACTAGCTTTCGAATTTCCTCAGTGGTATCGGACTTCACTTCGCTGGTTTGTAGGGATAAGGAATGTCCCAGAGTTCTCATTGCCATCAATCCAAGAAAAGACCGAGTCGTTTCAGAGTGGAACAAACGGCTTAAGGAAGAAACTAGTGACTACGGATTTGTTGAGAGATAATGTGACAATGCACACACAAGACTGTTTTCAAACCATATGACGCATATCACATGTACTAACTCGGATGTCATGTTCGCCCGGTGACCTATTGGCCGAGCTTCCTGAACGGTGATTGGATGACATGAAACTGTACTTAGTCGTGCTTGGATTGCGGTCACGGAAGTCTGGATCACCACACCTTATCAATCCAAATTACATCTCAGTGAACGATGGCTGTGTTAGCAAGGTAGGCGTTCAAGTCAAGTGCAAAGTGTGATTGCTCCATCGTTTCACATTGTCTTGTCCCTCTCACCCGTGACCTTAACCAATTCAGTTCCCTTTAAACCCTCTCTGCTATCTGATTGGATCATTCCCCGCGATTTTCGCCACCCGTAATCCCTCAACCCGATACGAGACTGTCTGATTACTTGTACGTTTTGTGATGGTCTTGGTGTCACGTGCAGTCCATCCGTGTGGTGATGGCACTCCTGTTGTGCATTCCAAGTTCATTGGGTCTGCTAAAGACCCGCGGCCGTAGACAGGGTGTGGTTTCTCGCTCGGATTAGCTGGGCAAGCATCAGGCCCCTTGATGCAGCTGAACCGTTTGACCAATCGATAAATGAACCCGATCCGTCGTGTGACTTTTGGGCCGGCATAGGAGAAGGATAAGTTCTTGGGCCGATGCTGCTTAAGTGTTGGTAGAGAATCAGCTGTGGGGCGATGTGCCCTGTGGAAAGTTCGGCCCGGAAAAATTCCAAGCGATGATGACATTGGGCCACTGCTTGAATGGTCTAAGATACAGGCACTAATTTTTTAAGAGGGTTCGGTAAACGGATAATCATAATAAAACTTTGAACCTGTCTTAAGCACGGACTACAATATCCACTAAGATAGGCCCACGCAGAACTCTTCCTGGAATTTTCACAACTGGCTGTTTTCGCGTTGAACGATCTTGTTAACCAAATCGGATATTGAATTCCGGAAGAGAGAACAAATATTATGGAAGCAATGCATATTTGTTTTATAAAGGTTGTTCAATATGTTTTTCTTTCTGCTGATTGCCTAGCAAAATACGGCGAATAGGGCTTTCTTAATAACAGTTGGAATACTTTCGCACTGCACGATGATATTCTGTTTCACCTCTTCGATAGTACTGGAATGTGTTACACTCTTTGATATTGTGTTATTTATCCTGTACATCGCATCCGATCGATCCACTGATGACTTCCTCTTGTCATGTTGTGATGGTTACCCTTTGACGGTATTTCTAACTTACAAACACTTCCGTATCTCTCACAAAGTAAATTCACGCATGAATGTGTTTCATAGCGCATCAGAAGGTCGTTGACAAATAACTTAATCACTTGGGCTACACATAACAAATAATCTAACGCTGTTGTGAATTTGATCGTTTTCCCTAAAGGTGCCATTACAATTTTAAGGCAACAAACCGATATTGATTTTCAACTGCTTATGTCTGGTAAGCTTACTCTGGACGAACTCGATCGGGCCCGAAAATGCGTCATCTCGGCACCCGTGCGACTGCCATTATTCATGCTGAACAAAGATAAGTACACCGCTGCATTGCGTCAAATCGCTCGACTAAACGGTATCCCGTTTTCCAAACCTGCTCCACTCAGACCAAAAGTAAAAAGTGCAAGACCTCATTCGGACTCAAGGTGCCCTCCGATATCAACAAATAGTACACATCCTAGTAGCACTGGGTCTTTCAACTCTCCAATGGTAAGTTGCAACTAGAAAATAGATTACACGTTAAGAGAAAGCAATTTTGATTAATTATCGGTTTCGTGTCGATTTCAAATACACCGCAATTTGGAGTTTTTACCCTATTTAACGAATCCAAATTTTCATAAGTTTTATAGAAATTATGGGCATTAAAAACTTTCCAGTGTAATCCTGAATTTCAATTAGCTGCGGAGAAGCGACGAGTATCATAAATATATGTATATAGTACTAAGGAGTACTGAAAATTTCTCTAATAAAATCCTTGCGTTGTGAATGCATCTATTCGTGATAGATATTGTTCCAAGTAACTCGTTATTGTTCATACTCAACGCTTTGGGTTCATATGCTAAGCTCTACATATTACTGATAAATCTTGATTTCAGTCCTGTTTTTGATAATAGGGTTGTGGTGGAACAGTGGTTTAGTCGCTGTCACCGGCGTGTTTTGTACCCTGTGGTCCTAGGTTCGAGCCCCGCCACCGCCACCGGACTTTGGTGGTAGACAGCTTTGCTGTCGTCCGGTTCAATACCACGCCTAACTTATCGGGGTCGTATGTGATTCGCCATTCCAAGTCCCGGGGATTAGGTTACCGATTTCCATCACTGAACAGCAGGTCCTGGTAAATATGGTGTTCGCCCCGTCTGCTGGTCATCACACTTAGGTGTGCAATAAAAAATCCGTTGGAATAAATGAGTTACTTACTGTATTCAGGCTTATTCACTTTGTTACTAAGGGAACCTATACGGAAATTTCCGAATTACTACGTTATTTTGTGAATATTTAATCGCTGGGTGACTTCAGTGATGTAATCTAATTGAAGAGACAAGGCATTAATTGCCTAGTTCGAAAATTTAACAACACACTAGCGCTTAAATTACGATGCGATTAATATGATTGATGATTTCCTACAAACAAAATGTGTCCAATATTGTTCGCACACAAATAGTGTTCATATTCATTACCTATCACTGTTTTTTTGTTCATGAGTTCCGATCCTAGCTCAGGATTCAGCCTGTGGTGTGATCATGGTATAGTTGTATAGTTAAAGTAAAGTAAGTAAAGTTAAAGTAAACTGAATGAGCCAGAACTATTTTGTTTTCTTCTTCTAATGATACATATAACTAAAGTAATTCGCACTGTATTTAACGGTAAAAGCGACCTGTTTAACAGATATGCTAGTAACAATATCAGGTATACAATTTGGTATTCTTGTCTTTATTTATATTTATAAACACTTAAAGATTATCCGTGGAGTATAACATATCGTCGTCAGTTGAACCATTCATTTTGATGCACATAATCAAGAAAACCAACTCAATTAGCTATTCCAATGTCCCTCCCATTATTTGGTTCCATATTTTCTCACTGAATTATTAATCATTTTTTGAAATATAACTATCTTTCACTGGTATCATCAACTTACAATCAATGCATCATACATTCTATGCAGTTATTGTACTTTGTGGATAATCTATCGGTTGTTGTTTTCACCTTTCGCCCGTCCTCCTTCCGCAAATTGAGACCCGACCGATGACTGATTATGTCACGTACCCCGCTTTCAGTTACATAATAAGATAGGTATACATGAATACAATTGATTCAATTTCTGAACTTCAAAGTCGCATCAGTTTTATTTTGGGAGATTTGTCACCCCCATTGATAAGATTCATTTTTTGTACGTGGTGAGTTATAAACCAAGAATACTCCAGTTACAACGTTTTCTTTGGTAAGAAACATCCTTAGACTGCTTAACTAATAAGGCGGGATTTGCTGAAGGTTCCCATCGTGACATTACCAGAACAAAACGAGTAGCGAGCCATCTCATATTCGATAACTTCTTCCTCTGGTTAACACAATTTTATGTATGGAATAAACACATGTGATCGACCGTCTTCTTCGGTCATCGACAAAATGTCTCCACCACATGGTGTCAGTTCGTTGAGGTCATTTATAGGACTTATGAGTCACTACGCGGTCTTTCCGCCAGACGTGCAGCGCCCGCGAGCTCCTGTGAAGAAACTGCTGAAGGGGGATACAAAATGGCTGGCAATGTTTTAAAGATGTCATATTGATACTGCATTCCGATTTGGTATGGACACTTTGATTTCGGTTAATAGCTGCACAAACTAAAACGGGACACATTCAATAGGGACCTAAAAATCATTGTGACTGCTGATGCGTCACACCGTGGTGTTGGGGCTGTCATCAGCATGATTTCCCAGACGGAAAGGAAACTGCCATTGCACATGCTGTCCTGTCTCTGACACTAGTCAAACGGAACCACGTTCAGAGCGAAAAGGAAGTCTTAGCTGTCAAAAGGTTCAACCAACTATTGATATGGCTACCTTTTTGTAATGATTGTATTAGCAGTAGTAGTACGCACGGAATTCGAAACACCAACCACGCAATATGAATTACAGGACCGGAATCGATAATCAGCTATCACGGACTGGATCGCAGAAGCACTGCACCACAATGGCACGGATTCGCAATGTGCCACGAGAACGAGACGCCAGGAAAAGGCCATAGGACTGGCAGTAAGTAGTTCGTTCATTGGAAGAGATGAAGGTGATTAAATAGTACGTACAAAGGGAGATTATTGGCTATCTGAGCTTCCACCAATTGGATTGCAGTACTGCTTGCATAATCTTGCTTCTGTCTGCATTGTCTTGGATTGGTTGGCACCATCCACCAATGACATGTATTCAGAAGCCATGCATGTATCATTGACGTTAGCATTCAAAATTGATTGATCGCCAATATCTTGAAACTGTAACGTGCCGCTCCAGGGTAGGCGCCATCGTGTAGGCCTGGATCACCACACTTTTCATACTTCTGAAGGACCACAAACTGCTGGTTGCCATTTTTGGGTCGAAGAAAGGTATTCCGGTCTACTCAGCAAACAGAAAGCAGCGTTGGGCCACTATAATGTTGGGTTTCGGTGTCCGATTCCAGTCTACAACAACTATTTTGACAGACCGACACCCCTTCGCACTTCATTGGCCGTCGCAGTCAACAGGTAAGAGATGGGGTCACCATGTCTTTGTCAATGGGAGTGGGTATACGGACCCTAATGGTGGATACCATACAACTGCTTCCTGTTACTTTTTCCGAGGTACAACGGGTAACTAGGCAGGATTCAATTTCACAGCAAGTATCATTGCACACATTGACTAATGCATGTGTCCGA